ACAGGTAACAAAATTAGGCTCAAAGCAGTTAAACAAGTATGATTTAATCTCAAAGCCTATGTTTCATATGGAATGCATACACACACACACACACTGCCCCAAGTTTCTAATATTTAGTAATAAGAAATACACAAATGGATAAAGCAGCTTAAGACAAAATTCAGAAACATGAGGTTTTTCAACTTATGTGGCTGTTCCTAAGCCTCACAAACATTATGACAAACAAATATATGAGAAAAATCTCTGTACTAGACTATTTAAAACAGGAAAATTGATAAAACAAACATAATTATCTTTTTCAAATATGAAACATAATTAAAAATAATTCAGATGATATCTGGATTAAAATGAGAAACATGAAGCAAATGTGGTTACTGAAAGTAACACCTATAAGGTAGAAAGAAAAAAGAGGAGTCACATCATGGATCATAAAGTTTTACCAAGAAAGGAATTGTAGGGTTGTCCAATGAACTCTTGGAATTTTTAAGATAATTAGAAAATTGAAAGAAAATTAAAGTCTGATGTGTATACCCCTCCCCTCAAGGCACAGTCAGGGATCTGTGAGGAAGAGAAGGAAGCTTGTAAGAACCAGATAATAAGGACACAACAGTGTGGGCTCATCCGCGAATACATAGGGACTGTGGCAGCATGCCCAATACTTTTACAAATTCAAATCAGATAAAATCTAAGCACAAACAAGTGGGCACAAAGTTCAGCCCCTAACCAATAAGCTATTTGAAATTAACACCTGCTGAAAAAGGGAAAATGAGTTTTCTTCAACACTGTGAAACTGGGTATATCAACCACCTCTCAGCCCTTGCAAGCCTCATGCTCAGTAATAGTTTTCCAACATTAAATACATTCCGTGTGTGTGTGTATGTGTGTGTGTTTTGTTTTACTGTGAGTGTTTAACAGAAAGAAGGAATATAAAGTGGAACAGGGTGGAATCAAGGAGGAGTTGGGCTAGGTGGGGTAAGAATATAGTAAACAAAATATATTGCAAAAAAATTTTTTTAAAGATGCAGGGATGCTTCAACATACAAAAATCTGTCAATGAAATCCATCATGTAAACAACTTTTAAAAATAAAAACCACATGATCATCTTTTTAGATGCTGAAAAAGCATTCTATAAAATACAACATCCCTTCATAATAAAGGTCTTGGAGAGAGCAGGGATACAAGGAACATACCTAAACATAATAAAGGCAATATACAGCAAGTCAACATCCAGCATCAAACTAAATGGAGAGAAACTCACAGCAATACCATCGAAATCAGTAACAAGACAAGGTTGTCCACTCTCTCCCTATCTATTCAGTATCGTTCTTGAGGTCCTAGCTAGAGCAATAAGACAGTAAAAGGAGATTAAGGGAAAACAAATCAGAAAAGAAGAAGTCAACCTCTCACTATTTGCTGATGATATAGTTTACATAAGTGACCCCAAAAATTCTACCAAAGAAAGTCTACAACTCATAAACCCTTTCAGTAATCTAGCAGGATATAAGATTAATTAAAAGAAATCAGTAGACCTCATTTACACAGATGATAAATGGGCTAAGAAAGAAATCAGAGAAATATCACCCTTCAAATAGCTACAAATAGCATAAAATATCTCAGAGTAACTCTAACCAAGCAAGTGGAAGACTTGTATGACAAGAACTTTAAATCTCTGAAGAAAGAAATTGAAGAAGACTCCAGAAAAAATGGAAAGATCTCCCATGCTCTTAGGTAGGTAGAATTAACATAGTAAAAATGGAAATCTTACTAAAAGCAATCTACAGATTCAATGCAATGCACATCAAAATCCCAGCAAAATTCTTCACAGACCTCAAAAGAACAGTAATCAACTTTATATAGAAGGGCAAAATACCTAGGTTAGCCAAAACAATCCTGTACAGTAAAAAAACTTCTGAAGGCATCACAATCCCTGACTTTAAACTCTACTACAGAGCTACAATTCTGAAATCAGCCCGGTATTGGCATAAAAACAGACAGGAGGACCAGTGGAACAGAATCGAAGACACAGATAGCAATCCACACACCTTCAAACACCTGATTTTTGACAAAGAAGCAAATATCAAATGGAAAAAGAAAACATATTCAACAAATGGTGCTGGCATAACTGGATATCAACATGTAGAAGAAAATAGAACCATATCTATCACCATGCACAAAACTCAAGTCCAAGTGAATCAAAGACCTCAACATAAAGCTAACCACACTAAACCTCACAGAAGAGAAAGTGGGAAGTACACTTGAATACATTGGTACAGGAGACCAATTCCTAAATATAACCCCAGTACCACAGACACTGAGAGAAACAATTAGTAAATAGGACCTCCTGAAACTGAAAAGCTTCTGTAAAGCAAAAGACATGAAAAACAAGACAAAATGACAGCCTACAGAATGGGAAAAGATTTTCACCAACCCCACATCAGGGTCTGATCTCCAAAATATAATAAGAACTCAAGAAACTGATCATCAAAAGAATAAATAATCCAGTAAAAAAAATGGGTACAGACATCAACAGAGAACTCTAAACAAAGGAATCTAAAATGGCTGAAAGACACTTAAGGAAATGCTCTACATCCTTAGTCATCAGAGAAATGCAAATCAAAACAACTCTGAGATTCCATCTTACACCTGTAAGAATGGCCAAGATGAAAAACACCGATGACAACTTATGCTGGAGAGGTTGTGGGGAAAAGGAAACACTTCTGCATTGCTGGTGGGAATGCAAGCTGGTACAAACCCTTTGGATGTCAGTGTGGCTATTTCTCAGAAAATTAGGAAACAACCTTCCTCAAGACCCAGTCATTCCATTTTTGGGTATAGATCCAAAGGATGCTCAATCATGCCACAAGGACATGTGCTCAACTATGCTCATAGCAGCATTGTTTGTCATAGCCAGAACCTGGAAACAACCTAAATGCCCCTTGAGTAAGGAATGGATAAGGAAAATGTGGTATATTTACACAATGGAGTACTACATAGGAGAAAAAAATAACATCTTGAGATTTGCAGGTAAATGTATAGATCCAGAAAAACATATTGAGTGAGGTAACACAGACCCAGAAAAACAAATATATGTACTCACTCATGAGTGGTTTTTAGACATAAATCAAAGAAAACCAGCCTATAAATCATAATCGCAGAGAACCTAGACAACAATGAGGACCCTAAGAAAGAAATACATGGATCTAATCTACATGGGAAGTAGAAAAAGACAAGATCTCCTGAGTAAATTTGGAGCATGGGGACCATGGGAGAGGGTAGAAGAGGAAAGAAGAGGAAAGGAGAGGGGCAGAGAAAAATGTATAGCTCAATAAAAATTAATAAAAAGTTAAACATTTAAAAAGTGAAAATTAAAAACATTTCAAAAATATACAAGTGTTTGGTATAACAATATTCTAAATATAAATTAGTATACTAAAATCCATGCTAACTGGATTCCAAGTAAATCACCAGCTCAGACAAACTGGCAAAAAGTTATAAGCATTTCAAAGAAATGACAAAAATATTCAATAGTAAATTTTTCTATTATCTTAAAGACTTTTTTCTGCTGGCAATAATTGAAATTAGTAAAACCGGACATTAGTTTTCAATTTATTCACAAAAAGGAGTTTGAACAAACAAAACCACTTTTTTATACTAAATTTTCCTTGAGGCATGTCTTTGGATATACCAATTCTTTGCATCACGGAAAGAAAAACAGAACTTAACTCCTGACCTTTTAAATTAAAGTTCAGTATTTACAGTGACACACATTTTACTTTTAAATGGCAATTCCTTAATATCAGCCTGTGCTGCCCAATGACCGTAACACGAAAGTCTGTTATTTCCAGTAGGAATGATGAAGGTGTTTGCTGATACCACAACTAAAGCACCCAAATGAGAACAAGTACCATAAACACAAGAAAGCTGACTTCCCTTCAGCAGAACTCAGAGCTTCCAAAGAAAAAGAGGAAAAGACGCAGTTTCACAAGAAAACATACATAAAACACTCACTGGGTCTTTTTGAAGTCCCTGGTCTATGTACATCTCAATGACATTCTTATCTTTAAACATCGAAGGTAATTGAGAGTTAGGCTTCAAAAATTTTCTTCCAACTAGACTGAGACTGAAAAAGTATGGGATAAAACCGGACTCTCTGAACATGGCGGACAAAGAGGGCTGCTGAGAAGCCAAGGGCAATGGCACTGGGTTGTGATCCTACTGCATGTACTGGCTTTGTGGGAGCCTAGCCTATTTGGACATTCACCTTCCTAGACCTGGATGGAGGGGGGGGGGGGGGGGCTCGG